TCAAAACAAAACCCCTCTTGTATATAAACAAACACGGTCCAGTCATTTTCTAAGAATCAAAAGCAATTCTTTTTTACACATTAGGGGAAAAAAAAACTAAATTTCTCGAGAAAATGTCGGGTCGTGGAAAGGGAGGAAAAGGTTTGGGCAAAGGAGGAGCGAAGCGTCACAGGAAGGTTCTGAGAGACAACATCCAAGGAATCACCAAGCCGGCGATTCGGAGACTGGCTCGTAGAGGTGGAGTCAAGCGTATCAGTGGTCTGATCTACGAGGAGACTCGTGGCGTCCTGAAGATCTTTCTCGAGAACGTGATTCGTGACGCTGTTACTTACACCGAGCACGCCAGGAGGAAGACTGTGACCGCCATGGATGTTGTTTACGCTCTCAAGAGGCAAGGAAGGACTCTTTACGGATTCGGCGGTTGAACGGGGGTTTTTTTTTGTGTGTTTGTAGATCTGTTTCTGAAAATTAGGTTTCATGAACTCAATGTGGGTATTTTAGTAAATGTAGTTTCCTTTTTTTGCTATTTGGCTTTTGTAGTGTGTTTTCATTTGCAAAATTCTCAACAATGGAATCACAATTTGGTGAAAATTCGCTTTATTACTCGTATGATTCGACTTTGTGTTTTTACCTCGCTTTGAAATGTGAATCTGAAGATTGGTCAGACGTTTAGTCTCTTGAGCCATCAATCCAGTTCTTCATCGACGATCTACGTCTCTCGATTATTGCTAACATGGCTTGGGCTTTTCCTTTCGTTGTTATTGTGTCGGAACGACAAATTGATCTGTACTAAATTGCCCAAATTTTAAGCCCAATGAAATATCTCCGAGCCCATGAATAACATGTATGTAACACGACGACAAGAAGTTAGTTTCAAGTGTTGTTGAGTAAAGAAGCCTTTAGCCCTTTTACCAACTTTACTCATTGCGCGTAAATTTTACTTTCCCTCCATTTATGGTTTTGGTTTTATACAATTTTCATTTTGCCACGAGTGGATGATCCATAATAAGAAGGAGATAGTGATATCTTATGGGTAGCAAGCTTTGATGAATCAAATTGTCCAATTTCTTAAATTGGATATAGATTCAAAACAATGGGATATGAATAAATTGTCGTATTGCATAACAAGAATTGAAAAGATACACTAAATCAAATTCATTCCGAAACTATTCAACAATGACGTTGATACGAATAACTAAACAAAAAAATTAGAGGGAAAAAAAAAAACTAAACAGGGGCCTGAAGAGGGACACGTGTCTTTATCCGAGTGACACGTAATCTTTCTGATCCTGAATGTAAAACGACGTCGTTTCAATCATCTAATGCACTAAACAATATCCTCTTTCTTCTCCTGTCTTTATCGGAGTTCACAGTAGCAAAAAAGAAAAAAAGCAACAACTGGTTTCTTTTGTATTCTTATCACGCCTCATCACTACGACTAATTTAAATCCATAGACCCCATTCATTGATTGATTGAATAAATAATTCTTAACGAAGAAGCAATCATTTATCAATCTCTCCAAGTCTCGATTTCTCATACTAGCGATAGATCGAGGCGTTGATCGTATGTGGTAGTAGTTTCTTTTTGGATCAGTGGGTTTTTGGAATGGAGAAAGTTTCATCGCCGTCTTCTTCTTCTTCTTCTTCTTCACGGAGGTCTGCTTATCTTGAAGCTCTTACACAGGAGATTAAGAAGAAGCTTACTCGGGTTTGCTCTTTTTTTCTTCTAATTTTTTTACACAGAGATCTCGATTTTCCGATTGTTGTTGTTGCTCGGTTTTGATTTCTCCCGGAAAACACGATTTGATTTCAGTGTCCCCTACGCGATTTCTCTATTTCGAGACACATGCATTTACAGAATTTCACGAATTTTGATTTGATGGTTGCGATTGCGGAATTTCGAAATTCGTGTTTTGTTTCATTTTGAATCTTCGGTTTCCGATTTAAGATCAATTTCATCCAATCTGATTATGTTGATCATCAATGTTCATGCAATTCTTTATTTCCTTCAAAATGCTATGTACCTGTTTGCGGTTTTTTCACGCCCAGATATCTGGATTTGGTCATTTTCGAATTTGAGAGTATAAAATTGATTTTAGACTTGTGATCATTTGTCTAGGCTGTTGTCTCTCCAGCACAAACACGCAACTTGTTGCAAGACTTATTTGCTGATATAGCTCTCGAAGTCGACGAAAGAGCGAAAGGTAACCCTTTTGATCTCCTTATTTTGTCGAATTCATGAATCAGCTTTCGAGAGAATATAACTTTTCGAGCTGGAATTTGAAGCAGATGTGATCCTTAGCAAAGAAGAGGATGTGATTTCTTCTGTTGAAGCAGATGTAGATGGTCCATTATGCTTTTTCGATGTCCTTGCTGATTATTATGTGAAAGTGTCTGAGAGGGGAAAAGATATACTTGATTTAATGGTGCAGCTCTGGAGCCAGTCCTTTGCATCACATATATTCTCTCTACTGTTTCATAAATGGGTATATGCCATCTTTACGATTTCGATTTAGTGTTATTTTCAATCCCAACGGTTTACTCTTTGGATTGTCTTTTGTCCATAACATGTTTCTTCTATATTCTTCCCAGCTGTTTGAGGTTGAGCTTGAGAATCAAGAAATACTCCTGCGCTATTCTTCAGCTCTGGTGCAGGGAGCAACAAATGTGTTCTGGTAAAATTTATGAACTTTGGCATAGCAAATTAACATTTTCTTTCATGTTGAATCGCTTGGTTCAGTGTGTATACCTCACTAGGGTCAATTGCGTACTTTGGATCTGTAGTAGTGGCATTGGCTTAATTTAAATAATGATTTTATTGTTTGTTAAGAAATGGTGTAATAGTCTTTCCAAGTCTCTTGCTACTTTAGATTGCATTGCCAAGCATTATGAGGGTAACAGGTGATAATTTCGTCTCATATTAATTACAGGATAGACATCCAGACAAATACGAGGCGCTTCCAAAGTCTCTTTCGGGTATCTTCTTTTCCTCAGATAGATCACAGTTTCATTTTCGTTTGTTGGATAGTTTACGTATATAGGGAACTTTGTATAAATCAAGACTATGTTCTCAACAAAACCTCAATTACTGGATCTCCAGCTAGAACATGTAAATCACACATGCTAGAGATCATCACATCTTCTTTCTATGATGTTACCTTGTTTAATGCCTCTTATAGATCTTCTAGGCAAAAGATATTGTTTTGTACTTGTCAATTCGGGTTGTCACTGTCACGCGCTTAAATCGTCATGCCATTTTGCCACTGTAACTAACATCTCTTTGTTCTCCTAGTATCTTCTTGAGGAAGTTGCTTTGGAGCAGATGCGATTGAAAAAAATTCCCATTCAGGTGAGTGGGTTTTTCTTTATTCTCATTATGGTTCAACTGATTTCAGTCTGGAGATTGATTTTCCAATACCTAATTTCAGGCACAGAGGGAACTGTATCTCTTACTCTCTAGGTTCATTTTCTTTTACAATTCAGGTAAGACACTTTTTCTAAAAAGTTATCATTGGAACCAAAGCGTTTCTTCCTTACCTGACAAATTATTTTCCAGTGGATAAACTCGATAGCTTCTTGAGGAACTTCCCAGAGTTTCCAAATGCTTTCTTGATTGGAGGACCCGGAGATTTCCTTGTTATTGAACTAACGGATCAGGTATAGAAGCAAAAGCTTTATGACCATCTACAAATTTTCTCTCAAAATTAAATCACACACATCACTCATCTAATATATCTTATTTTATTTTGGCAGCTGCAAAAACTGAAGGTGGAACCAGTACTGCTACATTATCTTTCTCAGATGAAGATTCTTCAAGGTACATTTCTCTCCTTTAGGAACTTGTCTAGATGCTGCATCTAACATGGAATCGAAGTTAAAAGATATGTTTGATTTCATCTGCAGGTATGGAACTGAGAATGACCACTAGCACAAGGTTAAAGGCGTGTTTATACAGTTTTACCTCTCCTGGAGGTCCAATGTACCCGACAAGAGCCGTCCGTCATGCAGCCTGGGATGCTTTGGATTCCCTCTTTCCTGTGAGTATTTCCTTTTTAAAAACTCGGATTAGACCGATGGTTTTGATTGCAAGATCCAGTGTAACTGTGTATGGGTTTTAAAGACATCATCTGAGTTTTAGGCAACCACATAAAAATCTAGAAGCTCCTGCTCCCGAAGCTCAGCAAAACAGTCTCAAATTCGTTCGTTCGATGTCTTCAGCCTTTGCACGTAGATCTCAGTATGGATGGGCTTGCCTTGTAACATTGTGATACTCTTATCTTGCAGGTGGGGCGTTACCCAAGGCATCTCATTAGTCTATTTTTCAGGCTGCTATATCCGTGGTACTGGCCATCCTCATGCTGGAACTTTGTGGTTCTTGCATCAACGACGCTATTATATTCTATCGTAAGGCTCATCTTTTCACGGAGAGTTAACCCAAGGCAGAGCTGTTAGCTTTACTTATGACGCAGCTACAGCAGGATCCAATCCTGCTGTA